GGTAACGTAACTCTTTTCAGATTCGCTGAGCGGGGACGCGCGTCTGGCGGTAATTGCGGGTGAAATTGAGCGATCGCGGGCTTGCCAAGAAACAATGCCACGATAATACTTAAAGTAGTTTCCTCGTTGGCACTGCCAACGTCGTGCGACCCTTTTAACGTGTAGCTTGGCGGAGTTTAATTAGACGATGCTCGATCGCGTCTATTAGAGCGTGCACGTTCGAAATTATTGCAGATAATGGGAAAGCATCAATTTCTTATCAAATGCTTACTTTTTATACAACTTTTGTGATGTTTTCGAAGCGCAAAGTGAGATTTTATAACTATATCGACACGATACGGATGATTATACTTATCTTGCTTATTGCACAATTTCTCCTTTCTTAAGGTTTTAGTTTTTCCGTTTAAATTTAGCGCGTATCTAGAAATTTGTTTAACAACAAAGTGTTGCATGTGTTAGTATTATCTATTTTATGTTAGAACGGCCAAAAAATATGGTTGAAACCACAAATAACTATAATTAACTATAATTTACTAACTCTGAATAACTATAATTTTAGTCAGAACGACTATTTTTTTCTCTCAATGCACCACGCATCGCGGGACGCCCGACTTACATACGTTTTTTTAATTATATACGTTTTTTTAATTATTCCGCCGCATTTATCCGAGCGTTTTCCGCGCGAGCTTAATACCACGGCAGTTAGTTTACCGTTAACCGTAAATCTCGAAGTTCTACTTAATTAGAATCCGTCCGAGGAGAAGCCGGCGAGGTTACGTCGCGAGGTGTAAGGGTCTGAGCGATAAAAGTGCGCGGCAATGGTCTTCAAGCTCGTGAGATACAAATTGACGACGCAAGTTTAATTGAATGCGCTCCTACGCGTGCCCCGAGTAAATTTCTTAGTCTAAAAGCACAGCTCTCTCTACGCTACGGGGCGCCCGTAAACACGAAACTAACGAAAGTTAATGACTGACACGGCTGAAACGACACGATCGATATGGTCGCAGTTTGTTCTCATTTCGAAAACTCGACCGTGGCCATGATTTGATCGGCGTCGTTTGAGCGCTCATGATCGCTGTCGCATTAATCCCCGAGGAAAATCCGATTGAAAGTTACACGATAGCGGCACAGCGCTCAATTATGTATGCACTATCATACTTAACTCTAGTTTGACATCTGTGCACTAAAAGGAAAAAAATATTCGATCTAATTAAAATTACAGTTATTTTTTTATTATTTTTTAATCATATTTTTTGGCTTTTCTTCTAACACGAAAATGATACATTTAAGGTTGTCATCTTAAATAACATCATCGTTAACATCATAATAGTATTTAATAAAAAAGTGGTTTTCTTGACTATAATTCATAGTAATTACTTCTTTATATAATTATAGTTACAAATATCAAACCTATATTTTCAGTGCGGGTCAAATTGATCCGAGCGAAAAATTAACTTTCCGTAGTTGCTGAATCTTGAATTATTGTTCACATAAACATAGAATTTTTTCTTTAAAGCATGCGAAAATTTTGCTCCTATCTATATAAAATTATTATATTATTTTCTCTTATGCATGCATGGAAAGCAAGTTTGATGAGATTAAGCAAATACCTGGTGAAATATGTATGAACCAGAAATTCAGGTTGAAGTTGGAAATTTCGAGTTTGTTTATGTTTCATCAGACATTTAATTAATTAATCTACACTGTATACTGAATAAGTATTTCCATGAGGGCACATCGGAAAAGTTGCTATTAATCTCACAGATCCAAAGTGCCAAACTGAGCCGCAAAATAGAAATGCGTCAGGGAAAAGTCAAATGCACGCTCTCCTGAGAGAAAAGAAATATTCAATGTTTCTAAGTTATTTCTAATAGTTATTTTCGGTACTAAGTATATTGTTCTGTTATTCCAACAAAAACTAGTAGTAGCAACATACATATAAGAGTATTATCACTATAGTTAACGCTTACTACAAAAACAATTTCTCTTGACAATAAATTTTTCATTATGCGATTATAGCTACAAATACTAAACACTTTCTTCGCGGTATATGTTCAGATAAGAGACCGAGAGGGAAGTGATACCGGAAGCAGCGATTGTTGTTGCGATTATCCGGCGGTAATGGTTTCGGAAAAGGCAAACATGAACATTTCGCGCAATCCCGGCGAATAATTCGGGCACGTCCCAGAGACGTTGGCGTGCAGCGTGCACTCCGTGATTACTCGAGCGTTAATAACGCGATCGTTTCCCGTCACTCTACTTCCGCTATTCTTCATCCACGTCGACCGGAAGAGATGTAAAGTTCGCAGCGTCGTTAAGCCGGCACGCGAACGTTTTACAAACGCCGAGATTGAGGCAGGCGGCCCTAAGCTTCTAAACCGTCGGATGAAGGAGAGGAATCCGGCACCCGGAGAATCATACACTGGGTCGACGGCGATCGCGCAAACACACCGACATGTCGAATCCTCGCTGTCGTGTGAGCGTTAAGCCTGAAATATTGGTTCGTCGAGACACCTTCTTGCGGGCGGGACGGAACGCGCGCGTCGATGTTAATTCCGACAGATTGTATATCACCGCCGCCCCCGCCGTCGACCGGGAGGAAACAGAACTCGAAGAAGTATTTTTCCCGCGGCGAAATCTTTCCGGTCAACGTCGGACGGGAAATTACGCGTTTCTGTTTGCCCGGGAATGTGCGCGCTGCGTACCAGCAGACCTCAAATATCGCCACCAAGTGACGAGAGATACCATCGTGGTGCTCTCGCAAGTGACGTGCTTAACCCTCCGCGCACAATGTTGGCTCTGCGAGAACCGGACGAACATTCGATCGCTCACCGGCTTCCGTAGAGAGAGGATCTGACAACATCTCAAAATACCTCTGTCTCCCGTAGGTTTGTTTGCAGATTTTCATCTTATCGCGCTGCTATCTTATATATAGCGGAGACCTCTGTATATTTCTAGGAAAAGTGCGTCCGGAAATTTCTAACAAATTTCTCGGGTCTGATACAGACTTAGATTGTACCGTGTGTCTTAAAAAATAAGACGCGGAGGGTTAAGTGATACACTACACCGAGTGATCTTCTCACATAAATTAGAAAAATATAACACAATTAAAATCCCATATATCCAAGCTTCTCAACAAAATCAACTTTATATACTTAACTCAATACGTATATTTTGAATTAATTTGATTATTTTCACAATGAGGTTTTCTGGAAGAAATTATTCGATAAGAAATTCACGAACGGATATTTCCGGGCAAAATATCGATGAATTTTTGTATTCGATCAGGGAACATCCGATGAGAAATATCAGTTCATAATTTTTATCTGATGAAATGCCATTATGATTGGAAGTATTCGATTCAATTTAATCGGATATCCTGATCGGATATAAAAATTCATCGGTACTTTGATCGGAAATATCTGTTTGTTAGTTTTTTTATCAGATAATTTCACTTAATATACTTGATCATAGATTGGGATATTTACGTCTCTCTCGGAACTATAAAACTTTTGTAGGTACTATTTTTCTTATATTGTTTGGAATAGCGGATATTACTCGAGGCGAGTATAATACTTGTTGTCTATACATTACTTTTCGCGAATCGATCGTTTCGAGTGATGAAAGCACACAGAACGCGTTCAGGCAGAAAGGGAGAGCGCGAAAAGGAGAGAAAGTTGAGCCGTTGAAAATATACGTGTTCAGCGCGAACGTTGTAACTTTAACGCGCGGATTTCGCGTCGCATTGTCTACGTTAATGAGAAAATACGCCGGCGGCAAGCCCGAGTTCAACATCAGCGCATTAGCGTCCGCCTTATTACTTTAGGATGTTATTAGCCGGGGATACTACCGGGCATCCAGCCTTACACGCGGAACAAACAACTGCTACTCTTCAATCTCGCGCGGCCGCGGTTTATTTACTTATTGGAGCCTCATCAGGCTCCAACAAGTCACTCGGACACCCCAGCTGCTCCCGTGTTTATCCAGGTTCCCGTAAATCCTCTAATCTCACCCTCACGCCGATTGCCGCAACGCGTAATGTCGCGTCTAACAGGCTGAAGTCACAGGACGAAGTTACAAGGTGACCACAGGAGGTGAAAAGGATCTTCCGTCGCTCGAAACGCGGTCTCGTTAATGCTCGAGAGAGTTCACCGCGTTATCTTGAATTCAGATGAATGAAACATGAGCCTCGAAAAAATGTTTTGCTCCGCTCCAGGCGGAATTCTAAGTGTCACAGTGAAAATTTATCACTGCTTCCTATATTTGCTAGAAAAATTGTCTGCGGTACGCGGGATTTCCAGCAGCAGCATTTGAGCAATATCTGCGAGCAAATTTAGCTGACTGTGAGAATTATACATTGTCTCTGGTCGCTAAATCTTCCTCGTTCGCCACGCAGATAATTCTTGTAAGAAGTGTGACTAGCTTTAATGAGGGGGGACGCCGTGGAGAGATTTTTCTGCAAAATTTCACGAATGGTTCGGGTTAGTCTTCTGTCTCTGTTATCTATATCGATTCAATACAAGACATGCGATATCACAATGTTTCCCTTATCCATCTCAGCTAATTTCTTGTCTTCAGGTAATTTTCACTGTGACTGCAAGACCGTTTTCTTTTTAGCGTTATCGATATATCGTCGAATGAACGAAACACGGAAGTCTGTATTTTACATGGAGAAATTCATATCGTAACGATGTATGCTTCCCGCGGAGAAGCATTCTCGCAATACCAAAAGTGGCTATTTACTCTCGTCCCTTTCAGAATTTTCTTTCCCGTTTTTGCTCATAAAATACATATTGACACAGATCGACCGGTTAGAGTTGGACGTTGCCTACGCGCACGATCGGCCGTTTCGCCGGAGATACTTCTTATTCAATATTTATATCTCGGAAAACGGCTTATCGTTTGCCCAGAAGCCGCATAATATTGGTATTAGCCATTTCGCCGCGGCTAGCACGAAATAAACGGGAGGTCGAGCCGAGTTCGAAAGTCTAAATATTTACCTGTGGGGCTCGGCGTGAGTCTCATCATCGTGCTCCTGACTTGATATTGCGTGAAATCATATTTGTCCAGAAAGGTAAACCTGGACTGGGCCTTGGTCTTGTGGCCTTTGTACAGGTTGCCGACGGCTCTGTTGATGGCCCGTGTGTACTCCCGCACGCCGAAATTCGTGTGCGGCACTATCAAGCCGACGGTGAGCCCCGGCAGGGAGACGTTACCACTTCTGGCCAATTCCTGCTGGTCGGAGTGACCGCTCGTCAATTTCCAGCCGTCGCTGGCTGAGAGCTGGACGAGCGCGACCACCGTCAGGAGGCCGTGGAGCAGGCTGTGCATTTTATTTGTCTCACGTGAGTCGCGCGAACGCGATTCCGACGTCGTTCTTCCCGCGGGATCGGGATATTTCCACCGGCCCGCCGATCAGGTCATCGTTGTCGGGACGACGATCGACTCGCGCTCTAAATTGAACGCGAATAATCCGCCACTCCGTGTTCAACGCGCCGATTTTCCACCGCAGTCGCGCGAGGGCAACTTTTTTTTCCGCACTCTCGTCATTGTTATCGCGGAGGAGCCGTGGACGCTGTCGGGACGTCTTTCTTCTTCGCGCACTTTGATTTGGCTATGCAGTTACGACACCCTTTCTCTCTCTACATTTTATTTCTTCATAAATTTTTTATCGACGCACGGAAAACACATATCACATTTCATCACAACGAGATAAGACACTTTAATATCTTTCAACAGCATTTATACGATTATTATTATTTAACATCGAAAACTGTAAACATATATATGTATATATATATATATATATATGTGTGTGTATTTTTCATCGAGAGATTTGAAGACTGCAAACACACGATGATAATATATATATATGTATTCCCGAAGAAGGAAGACCAAATTTGATTTCACGTGCACACAGACTAACGGTGCTTCATATAGACACGTAGATGGGAAAATTGATGAAGCATCTCGAAGAAACGTTCGTCGTCAGATCACTGGTACTTAGGAAGATGCTGAAAGACAAAATGAGAGATTTCGCCTTCAAGTGCCGGATAATCCGTAATCGCAAGTCAAGTCTCGAATACATTACGCCCAAGTTACTCGCGCGTTTCTCCCGCGCGAGTCTCTTTGCTTTCGAAGTGTTTAAGTAGCCGAGTTCTTGCGTCCCAAGAACTCCCTGGGAGTCTTGGCTCGCAACTCTCAAGGCACTTAAATGCTCCAAGTAATTGGTTCCGGAAATCCTCTAATCCGCGGCCACACAAAGACGCTCAATCCACCACGGTATTTAATTTTATCTAATAATGTCCCGCCGCTCGCCCGCTCTCTCGCTCGTTCTCGCGAAACGCGCGCGAGATTAACGGGAACGCAACAGATGGATATTCCAACTTTGGAATTGGCATAATGGAACGATATCGACGGGGAGAACTTCTGCGAGGCGAAGTCGAATTTCGACTGCGCTTGAAGGAGCGGGATTTCAGGTTGAACGCACAGCGACACGAGCGATTGTCCGCTCGATAATCCGACAATAATTGTCGCCAATTCGCCGCCCCGCTATAATTAGTATTTCTTTGCCAGGCGCCGGCAAGATTGGCCGGAAGCAATTACGACGCTTTCAATTAATCGGCTCGATAATTTCACGAGGATCTAGAGCGTCAGGACCGCGACTGAGCCAATTATTGAGATTTTCGTCGGGCCGATGAAGAACCGCTTTCCGCGGCATGTAATACCGCATTAATTGGTAATTATAGTGTCGTCTAGCCCGCATCCGATCGCCCTGCATGCGTATATTTTTGTCCTCGTTGTTCCAAGTAGTCCTTTAATGTCTAATGCCTAAGCATAACGGCGCGTCGAGCGAAACACGATAATGCCTGAGAGGTCTATTTTCAATGAAGAAACGTGTCTGAAATGTTTTTCATCATTTCAAGTGTCAAACAAAAAGTCTAAACTTTCTCTCATTTGTCTAAAAATTTTTCTTAGTGGTTGAATATCTAACTTTAATATTTCAATATTTTGTAATTTAGTATTCTTACTGGTTGCACTTTCTACACATCCTTCTGAGCTTCTTTTCTCCCATCACTCCGTCTATTACTTTTTCTCATTGTTAGTGTCTTCCTCGAGATTTTGTGCGATACGTTTGGGACAGTCGAAGTATCAGAGGTGATTCTTCGAGAAGAGGCGAGATGCGGAGCGAGATGTTTGCCCGTGGGACTCGACCATGCTTCGGAAAATTGATCCAGAGAATTGGAATGTTAACAGTGTTTTGTGTTAACAATGTTTTCAACTTTTCGTTTACAATGACTTTGTGAAAACCGCCCGAATCACTCGGTAACTTTTGATTACTCACTAACATTCGTAAAGAATCGCTCACCAACTTAATATTTCCATTTATTTCAAAATTGCACGAATCTATTAATAATAATAAAAATAATAAAATTAAAACTGTTTATAGATGTTAACTTTGTAGATGTTGCATTACTATTTTAGCTGAGGTTTTTCTATATCCTTGAAAAAAGATTGTGTCCAAAGTTCAAAGTTGCCCGGGTTTGACAGATCCAGATTGTACTGCGATATGTCCCCAAAAAATATAATTACACACGAAGGGGGTAAACTTGTAAAAGCTCAAACAGCCTCGTGCGAAAAAGTGACATTGGAAGCTCTACTCATCTCGTCACAAGGAATCACCCGCTCGCCGATAATGCACTTTCTCTGCGCGTTTCGTTTAAAAAGCGACGATGAAATAAGCTGTATAAAATGGATAATCAGAAAGATATAATCTAAACGTGTTTCCTCCTCTCCCTCCTCCGACGCGAAGCGCTCGAGAGAGGGCGGAAGATCTCCTCGGAGTCTGTATCGTTCCGAAAACGCTCGTTAATCAGGCCGCTCGGCAACGACATGACGCACGACGGGATAGGAAATGTGCGCGGGGAAAAAGCGCTGTAAATCCATGCGACCGGAGTCGATGGAGCGCGTCGCGACGCGAGGAAGCGTGTAGCTCCCTGTCGTTTTCTCTCCCTCCGGGCGTATCTATTGTGTCTGTCGTAAAGTGCTGTGTGGAAGTCAACCGCGCGGGCACGTCATCCGATTAACTCCGGTCGCCCGACGCTCGTTCGCGTGCTTTGCTTTCGCGAGCGAACGTTTTCCCGTTCGAATTGGGGGCGACGTGGACCAACTCTTTCGCCGGCCTTTCGGCGGAAGTTGTCGTGGGAATTAGAGAAGCACGCGATCGCACAAGAAACCGAGAAAAATCGCATCGCGCTGATCGGATTTATGGAAATTGGCGTTATCCGCGCGCGCGTGCGCGCACGCGGGGCCGATAAACAGCGGAATTTGCATCGCGTCGTACATTCCCGCGCGGAACGGCACGTTTTATGATAGCGATGCGAACGGAATATCGGGTTTAACGGAACCATTATTATCTCGCGATATAAACGTTTTTGCACGCAGAGCGCCCGGGAACGGATATACGTGTATATACGTGTATTTGTGTGTGTGTGTGTGTTTGTGCACATAGATGCTTTTTTACAACTTTATTTGGCTATCGAAGGATTTCCTCCGTGTTTGACGTATCTGTCGTAAATCTCTCTTTTTTTTGCACTGTCGCGTTAATAGAAAGGAAAAAGGAATTGAATTAATTTTCGCTTTACTCGAGCAGTTTATAAATCGGACTTTTGATTTTTAATTAGAATATAAAAACTAGGGGATGCGCGCGCTAGTTGACGTTTCAATATTCTCTGCGCGATAATATTCGCATAAATTTTGTATCAATATTCTCCACCGTGACTGAATAAAATTAAGCGATGTATCACTAGCTAGGATGAAATTTCTTGCAAGTGCATATACTGTTTCTGGTAATAAATGCAATTTTCATTCATGAAATAATAATTGAAATTGAGCATATGGGCGGACAAGATAAAGTTAGCTCATAATCAATAAACACGTAAAATTTAATCATAAAATCGTAAAGTTAATCACAAAATTAGTCATAAAATTTAATCATAAAATTTAATCATAAAATCGTTACAACTGACTCTTGACTTTTAGCGAATTTCTGTCGATGGCGTGCACAAATTTTGTCGAAATATAGAACGAGAAGAATCCGCTTATCTGCGGTCAGTTATAAATAATCTGCGATTTTATTTAAATCTGACACGATTTTTTATCGTTGCTGAGTTGGCGCATAAAACCAAATGCCAAATCTCGCGAAGCCAATCGAACGCTCGCAGTGCGATAAAGCATTTATGGAGGAATAATTCTCGTCGCATATATAGCGCTCCATTTCACAAAACAGTCATATTCTACAAAATGCGTCTAATAGTGTTGCTTGAAGGAAAGCTTTGAATATGTATAGAAATTCTAGCAATGGGAATTCATAGACCGTGTCTATGTTACTTAAAAAACTGAACGTAAGCTTTCGGCGAGTTGCGATTAATCGGTTCCAAGTGAAAGCTCCCAGGACCTTCCTGAACGTGAGCGCGCAAGTAGAGAAGATCGGAGCTGTATGCCTCCAGGGATATGTCGCTCATGCTTTTCTTAGTATTTAGGTTGAGAGGAATAGTAGGTAGAAAATCGCGAAATGGTTCTTTTTGAATATAAATATTTTTTCTTGAGTTACATTGAAATTGAAATAATATTAAATTAAAAAACAGAAAAAACTGATTTGGTAGTAGCGCAAAATAAATTTTCGAGCCTCTCGAAATTTTGTATCAATATTCTCCACCGTGACTGAATAAAATTAAGCAATGTATCACTAACTAGGATGAAATTTCTTGCAAGTACATATACTGTTTCTGGTAATAAATGCAATTTTCATTCATGAAATAATAATTGAAATTGAGCATATGGGCGGACAAGGTAAAGTTAACTCATAATCAAGGGCCAGCAGGAGGGCTGTGGAGACTTTGGAACTCGCGGAGACTTTGGAACTACTAATCAAAGTACATATTTTATACGTGGCCTCCTTTTATCCTGCGCTACTGAGCAACTGAACTCGATACCGGGGCAAGATAGATTAATACATAGAAGAGAGTTGCCTCTATCATGTTTATACGATTAGTCGCAATAATTAGTTACCTGAGAAGTTGGAACTTCGAAATAAAATATAAGACATCTAGCCGCGAACATTTAATCCGTCGCAAGCTCTCGCGGGTGTTGGAGCGAGCGTAGCCTGCGACGAGGCAAGGCTAATTTTACAAAGGAGACGGCAAAAACGAGATCACACACGCTTGATTAGAAAACTCGCGTCGGTCGCAATAGAAAATTATCGTTAACGCGGGAGGGCACTTCGGACAGGGTTCTGGTGTTTCCGTGAGTGTGTCCCTCGACCAACTCTCGAAAGTTACGATGCCGATGGCGTGGACTCTCTCGGCGATGGAAACCGATGCCGAAGTTCGGCAAGATAGCAGTGTCGGATTCGGTTAAGCGTCGGATTTCAGAAAGTACTTCGGAAGGATCGCGGTATCACACAGGGCGAAATCCCGCAGCCAATGGCTGCCCATCTAACCAGCCAATCCTATGTGCCGTATAATATCACGAAAGCTCGGCCGTGAACGCACTGGACCAGAACTCACACAAAACTGGAGAAATTACGTTGGTGGTATTCAAGAAATTGCGGTTGCACACGGTTGCGAAGGACGGTACGCTTAATTGAGGTCGCCACAGCGCACCGAGTGTTGCTCGAGAAAAATTTAATTACGAATGGAGTACGAACGGAGATATGAGGTCAATTAAACGATTCGGCTTGATGTCGTTTTGCTTTTCTCGATAGCAAAATGTTACTTTCCGCGAGAATACAGAGATGTAAGGTAGAAATAGTTGTTAATTCCCGGACATGTAGTGAGAATCCTAGACGTTCTCTTATTGTTTGTTAAATATACGAATGTTTAAATATGCAACATAGATAATATATGTACATATTCACACGACAGAAAACATTTTGTATTCGTATTGAATCGATCCGTGTAGAAATGTTTGTGTTAAATTTTTAACGTGCTCGTGCGTTAATTCAACATATTGT